TGAGGGTGGTGGAGAGTAAGGGTGTTGGAGGGTGAGGGTGTTGGAGGGTGGTAGATGAGGGTGGTGGAGAGTAAGGGTGTTGGAGGGTGAGGGGGAGAGGAGGGTGGGAAGGATGAGGGGAAGATGAGGGGTGGTGGAGAGGGAGGGGTGTTGGAGGTGAGGTGGTGGAGAGTGAGGGTGGGGAAGGATGAGGGGTGGAAGATGAGGGTGGTGGGAGTAAGGGTGTTGGAGGGTGGGGGTGTTGGAGGGGGTGAAGATGAGGGTGGTGGAGAGAAGGGTGTTGGAGGTGAGGGGTGGTGGAGAGTGAGGGTGGTGGAGAGAGAGGGTGGTGGAAGATGAGGTGGGGAAGATGAGGGTGGTGGAGAGGAGGGTGTTGAGGGTGAGGGTGGTGAGAGTGGGAGGTGGGGATGAGGGGTGGAAGATGAGGGTGGTGGAGTGAGGGTGTTGGAGGGGAGGGTGGTGGGAGAGGAGGGTGAAGGATGAGGGGTGGTGGAAGATGAGGGTGGAGAGTGAGGGTGTTGGAGGGTGAGGGTTGGAGAGTGAGGGTGGTGGAAGGATGAGGGTGGTGGAAGATGAGAGGGTGGTGGAGAGTAAGGGTGTTGGAGGGTGAGGGTGTTGGAGGGTGGTGGAAGATGAGGTGGTGGAGGAAGGGTGTTGGAGGGTGAGGTGGTGGAGAAGAGGGTGGTGGGAGAGGAGGGTGGTGGAAGGATGGAGGGAGTGGAAGATGAGGGTGTGGAGAGAAGGGTGTGGAGGGTGAGGGTGGGAGTGGGGGGTGGTGGAAGGATGAGGGTGGAAGATGAGGGTGGTGGAGGAGGGTGTTGGAGGGTGGGGTGGTGGAGAGGAGGGTGGTGAAGGATGAGGTGGTGAAGATGAGGGTGGTGGAGAGTGAGGGTGTTGGAGGGTGAGGAGGAGTGAGGGTGGTGGAAGGATGAGGGTGGGAAGATGAGGGTGGTGGAGAGTAAGGTGTTGGAGGGTGAGGGTGGAGGGTGGTGGAAGGAGGGGAGAGGAAGGGTGTTGGAGGGTGAGGGTGGTGAAGGATGAGGGTGGTGGAGGATGAGGTGGGAGAGTAAGGGTGGTGGAGGGTGAGGGTGTTGGAGGGTGGTGGAAGATGAGGGTGGTGGAGAGTAAGGGTGTTGGAGGGTGAGGGTGGGGAAGATGAGGGTGTTGGAGAGTAAGGGTGTTGGAGGGGAGGGTGGGAGAGTGAGGGTGGTGGGAAGATGAGGGTGGTGGGAGGTGAGGGTGGTGGAGGGTGAGGGTGGTGGAGGATGAGGGTAGAGTAAGGGTGTTGAGGGTGAGGGAAGGAGGGTGGTGGGAAGGAGGGTTGGAGAGTAAGGGTGTTGGAGGTGAGGGTGGAGGATGAGGGGTGGAGAGTAAGGTGTGGAGGGTGAGGTGGTGGAGAGTGAGGGTATTAGGATGAGGGTGTTGAGGATGAGGGTGGGAAGATGAGGGTGGAAGATGAGGGGCAGAGGAGGAGGGTGGAAGATGAGGGGGAGGATGAGGGTGGAAGATGAGGGTGGAAGATGAGGGTGGTGGAGAGAGGTGGTGGAAGATGAGGGTGGTGGAGGATGAGGGGTGGAAGATGAGGGTAGGAGAGTGAGGGTGAGGGTGAGGTGAGGTTGGTGGGATGAGGGTGGTGGAGGGTGGAAGATGAGGGGTGGAAGATGAGGGTGGAAGATGAGGGGTGGAGGAGGGTGGAAGATGAGGGGGTGGGAGGGATGAGGGTGTTGGAGGGTGAGGGGTGGTGGAGGATGAGGGTGTTGGAGGGTGAGGGTGGTGGAGGATGTTGGAGGGTGGTGGAAGATGAGGGGTGAAGATGAGGGTGGAAGATGAGGGTGGTGGAAGATGAGGGTGGTGGAGGGTGAGGTTGGTGGAGATGAGGGGTGGAGAGTGAGGGTGGTGGGAGGGTGGAGGAGGGTGAGGTTGGTGGAAGATGAGGGTGGTGGAGGATGAGGGTGTTGGAAGATGAGGGTGGTGGAGGGTGAGGTTGGTGGAGGATGAGGGTCATTGTCGTGTTTTTGTTTGTCTAGTGTCAGCCGCGCTCTCTGTCATTGTCGTATTAGTAAATGTCTTTGTTATTGTTGTTGTCGCTTGAATTATTCCCCTTGTTATTGTTGTTACTTTCATCAATGTTTTTGTTATTGGTTTCGCTGTTGTCTTTCTTTGTTTTATTGTGGGTTTAGTATTTGTCATTGTTGTTGTTGTTTTAGGCTATTGTGTTTGTTGTTAATGGTTAAATATTATTAATATTGTTGTTACGATTGTTTTTGTTATTGTATTTGGTGTAATCATCGTTATTGTTCTTGTTATTATTGTTGTTGCTTTAATCAATGTCGTTGTCATTGTAATCACTATTCTTGTTGATGTTTTTGTCGTTTCAGTCGTTTTTGTTACTTTCTGCTAAGTAGTAGTGGTAGTAGTAGTAGTAGTAATTATAATATCAGTAGTAGTAGTAGTAATCATAATAATAGTAGTAGTAATAGTCGTAGTCGTAATTGTAGTAAAAAATAGTTGTTATCGTCAGTGTTATTACCAGGGTTCAGTTGTCGTGTTTTTGAGCTGTGGATGTCGTCACTAACCTCAGTATGGTCGTTAAGTCGTGTTTCCTCAGCGTAAGGATCAGTCGTCTGGTCTACACGACACCTTACGACTATTTCCTCTGAACTTTAGGGTAATATAGTTGTCGTGTGGGAAATAAGGCATGGGTTTTTCTCTCTCTCCTCCCTCCTCTTTCCTACCTCCTCTTTCCTGCCTCCTCTTTCCTTTCCTCTTCCTTCCTCCCTTTTCTTTTTCTTTCTTTTCCTTTCCTCTTCCTCCTCCCTTCCTGCCTCCTTCCCACCTCATCTTTCCTATCTCCTCTTTCCTATCTCCTCTTTCCTTCCCTCTCCATTTTCCTTCTTTTTCCTCTCTCCTACCTCCTTTTTCCTCTTCCCTCCAAATTGTCCCTAGGTCAAGCCTCTCCATCCTCCCCTCCACCCTCCTTCTCTCACCTCTCCCCTACCCTCGTCTCCCTCCTTCTCTCATCTCCCTCCCCACCCTCCTTCCCCTCACCTCCCTCCTTCCCTCACCTCCCTCCTCCCTTCTTCCTCTTCTCACCTCCCTCCTTCACTCACCTCCCTCTTCCCCCCCTCCTCCCTCTTTCCTCTTCTCACCTCCCTTCCCTCCCTCCTCCCCCCTCCCTCCTCCCCTCTTTCCTCCCTCCTCTTTTCTTTCCTCTCACCTCCTCTTCCCTCCCTCCTCCTCCCTCCTCCCTCTTCCTCTTTCACCTCCCTCCGTCACCACCTCCCTCTTCCCTCCCTCCTCCTCTTCTCCCTCCCTCCCTCATCCCTTCCTCCCTCCTCCCCTTTCCTCTTCTCACCTCCCTCCGTCACCACCTCCCTCTTCCCTCCTCTCTTCCCTCCCTCAACCCTCCCTTCACCTCTCCCTCCTTCACTTTTCCCTCCTCCCTTCCTCCCTCCTCTCACCTCCACCCTTACTTAGTCGCCTCCCTTCCCCTTATCAAACTGTGCGTAAGTGTGTGTGTGTGTGTGTGTGTGTGTGTGTGTGTGTGTGTGTGTGTGTGTGTGTGTGTGTGTGTGTGTGTGAGGTCTAGACTGGGTAGGTATGACATATGGTAGCAAAGTGGTTATTAATCATCTCAGCTGCCTCCCTCACTAGGTAAATGTGAGATGAAAGGAAGTGTGGAGACTGACGGTTAAGACCACAGAGATTTTCACTTTGAGTACCACTGACCGATGCCCACCTCCTTCAGGCCGTGCACACTCCTGGGATAATAAGACTTCTTGGCTGACTTGATTTCTGATGATCTGGTTACGTAGACTTTTGTACAGGCGGTTGTTAGTACGCCTTGTTGTGTTGCTCAATAAGTCTTTTTATGCGTAATCCACGGGACATCAGTGTCTTGGCTGGAAAGAAGTGGTGGTAGGCGGTGATAGTGTCCAGGTAATTATCCCACTTGTTCTGCACATCGTCTACCGTGATCACTTCAGTCCAGGGATACAAGGTTATCCATTGTCCAAAACGCCGCATAGCAGAGTCAGGGGTGGGTCGGTAAGTCCTGGTGGCAACTGGCGGTCGTGAGATGGTAGGTGAGAGACAGGTGGGTGCTGCGCCCCATGTGAGGCAGCGGCTGGGGGGGAATAGTGGTTGCCGAGATCATCATGATGAGGTCAAGGTGGCATTCCCATGTGGAAAGTCAACTATTTGCAAGGTGGAGGTGTTGGGTGATGTCACTGATGTCTAACTCATTGAAGTCACCGCATATCACTAGTTTAGCACATGGAAATCTGGATCCTGAGGAGTCAGCAGTGTCTATTATATGAGTTATCAGTACATTGGCGGTTGGTGTGGGGGTGATAGCAAACACAAACAATGAGGGAGGCAAGCTGAGGGGGGTGGAGGTGGAGGACCTGAACCCACAAGGCGTGTGTGTGTGTGCACGAAAAATAAAACATCTTTTATGTCTCAACTTTAACGGCAACATAAAGGCGTTATTATTGTTTTATTGGTCTAAGTTTTCATATCTGTTTAATATTTGTGAAAAAAAAACAGTTTTAATTTCCTTCTATAAAAGCTAAACAAAGGCCATCAAAACAACCACCCACATCACACCCCCACCCATCCACCACTCATCCACCCACCCACCCCCGCCCACCCATCCACCCACCACCCACCCCACCCATCCACCCACCCACCCACCCACCACCCACTCCACCCCCCACCCATCCACCCCACCCCACCCATCCACCCCACCCCCACCCACACCCCACCCCACCCATCCACCCACCCCACCCCACCCATCCACTCCACCACACCCCACCCCCCCCACCCATCCACCCATCCACCCCACCCACCCACCACCCACCCACCACCTACCTACCCCCCCACACTCACCCACCATCCCCACACCCACCCACCCCACCCATCCCCAACACACACATTAAATAAAACAATGTTCCTTTTTCATGTATTTATTTACTTACAAAATCAAGATAAAACTGATAATGAAAAATCACATCATTCTGTGTCGGTGGCTCTGTGTCGGTGGCTCTGTGTCGATGGCTCTGTGTCAGTGGCTCTGTGTCGGTGGCTCTGTGTCGTGGCTCTGTGTCGGTGGCTCTGTGTCGGTGGTCGGCTCTGTGTCGGTGGCTCTGTGTCGATGGCTCTGTGTCGGTGGCTCTGTGTCGCTGGCTCTGTGTCGGTGGCTCTGTGTCGGTGGCTCCGGTGGCTCTGTGTCGGTGGCTCTGTGTCGGTGGCTCTGTGTCGGTGGCTCTGTGTCGGTGGCTCTGTGTCGGTGGCTCTGTGTCGGTGGCTCTGTGTCGGTGGCTCTGTCGGTGGCTCTGTGTCGCTGGCTCTGTGTCGCTGGCTCTGTGTCGATGGCTCTGTGTCGGTGGCTCTGTGTCGGTGGCTCTGTGTCAGTGGCTCTGTGTCGATGGCTCTGTGTCGGTGGCTCTGTGTCGGTGGCTCTGTGTCGATGGCGGGCTCTGTGTCGGTGGCTCTGTGTCAGTGGCTCTTGTCGGTGGCTCTGTGTCGGTGGCTCTGTGTCGGTGGCTCTGTGTCGGTGGCTCTGTGTCGATGGCTCTGTGTCGGTGGCTCTGTGTCGGTGGCTCTGTGTCGGTGGCTCTGTGTCGGTGGCTCTGTGTCGATGGCTCTGTGTCGGTCATAAAGTGATGATGCGGTAAAAAGAATCACTTTGTCTTTACCTAAAAACATAAATTTACAAAAATAAAATAAAATTAGTGAATCTGTAAATGTGTAAAAATCAATCAATATATCAGTCGGTCAATCAATCAATCACTTAATCAATCACTAAATCAATCACCCAATCAATCAACCGATCACCTAATCAATTCCCTAATCAATCAATTAATCAATAACCTAATCAATCACTTAATCAATCAAACAATCAATCAATCAAACAATCACCTAATCAATCACTTAATCAAGCAACCAATCAAATAATTAGCCCACGGAATAAATCTTTATCACCACACCATCTGAACATTAAGCATTGACAAGATTTTTATAACATCTCGTAGGAACAAATTTACCTTCAGTCAATAACAATCAAACCTGAATGTATATCGGGTGAAATGTCCCTGCCTCCCTCTCCCTGCCTCCCTCCCTCCCTGTCCTCTCCCTGCCTCCCTCCCTTCTGCCTCCCTCACTTCCTGCCTGCTTCCTGCTTCCTCCCTGCCTTCCTCCCTGCCTCCGTCCCTTCCTGTCTACTCCTGCCTCCCACCCTCCCTGCCTCCCTCCCTACCTGCCTGCTCCCTGCCTGCCTCCAACTCAGTGTTTCAGGGAACAGGCAGGGAGGGAGGGAGGCAGGGAGATTTTTCTGGGACACCCTATATATATGTATAAGACCTTAAGGCTAGTACTTTAAGGCACATAGGCCTATACAAATTACAAGTCTGTGTTAATACCCGTAAGAAGTGTACTGTATGTGTGTATATCAACTAGTTATTTTATTTTAACTATACACCAACTTTTACATAAATAACACAAAATTCTCCCCTCCCTCCCCCTATACCCACCCCCCATCCCCCCACCCTAGACAAAAAATTCTTCCATAATAATACTTTTAACTCACAGGTGAATCAAAAGAACATTAAAAAATAATATTTGTATACCAATATCCATAACAAAAATCAATCTATTCCATTTTTTTTTACGAACAAAATCTTTCAATAATATTAACCTCAAAAGATAAACCTTCTATATATTTATAAGTATTGTATATCTTCCATCTATATACGTATTTCTTATATCAATACTAATCCCATCTATTATCACCAAAGTATATATCTTTAATAAATTTTTTTGACACTCAATGGAAATCAGACGCACAAAAGCACTCATCGTTGTACGTCAGTGTGTGGGTAAAGAAGTGCGCCTCTTATGTCAGTGTGTGGGTAAAGAAGTGCGCCTCCTATGTCAGTGTGTGGGTAAAGAAGCGCGCCTCTTATGTCAGTGTGTGGGTAAAGAAGCGCGCCTCTTATGTCAGTGTGTGGGTAAAGAAGCGCCTCAGGTCAGTGTGTGGGTAAAGCGCGCCTCTTATGTCAGTGTGGAGGTAAGTGTGCCTCCTATGTCAGTGTGTGGGTAAAGAAGCGCGCCTCTACACTCCACCACCTGCACTGTTATGATTTTCGAAATTCCGGCAGATAAAACAGTGCCTGAAATAAATTTGTTGCTTTGACACGGCCCAGCAAAATCCATAGTCGATTAGCGTAGTCTCATAAAGCTTGTGTGTGTAGCCCGGGCAGCCACAGACTCTCCCAGCCTTTGTTGCGAAGCGGGAGGTGGAGGTGGAGGAGGGTGATGGGGGGGGGGGTGTAGGTGGTGGAGGGAGGTAGGTGTAGAGAGTGATTGGAAGGGTTGGGTGTAGGTAGGTAGTGGGTGTGAGGAGGGTGTAGGTGGAGGGGGTAGTTAATGGTGATGGGTGTAGGAGGGCGGAGTGTGGGTGGGGATGGGGTAGGTGGAGGGGGTGGGTGTAAGAAGGGTGTAGATCTTGAGGAACTGTGAGTGTTGACGGGCTGGGGAAGGGTGTGGGTGGAGGAAGGGGGTTTGATGTAGAAGAGGAGGGTGTAGAACTGGTTGGTGGACGGTGTGTGTGTGTGTGTGATGATCGTTTTCGTTGTTTTAATCAGTACATGTGTGTGATTCAGATTGTGTGGATATACATAAATGCGTTTGTTTGTGTGTGTCTAAGTGTGTTTTCGAATTTTAGCACTGTCAACAAAACAGGTGTGATAACCAGCTGACAACTCACCTGGCTCTGTGTACTTAACAGTCATCTATTTAAAACTAATTAATCCCCAGGTAAACTACACATAAGACTACCATACTAATTTACATTTACAGAAAAAATATTGTAAAAACGAAGAGTAAAATACCCAACTATTTTTACACTATTGTTGAATTAAACTGTATGTAAGGAAAACAGTTATTTTACCTGACTGGAAATAAACTGTTTACCCTGATGGTATATTCTACAAGTAGAGAGAGAGATATTGAGGGTGCTGCGTGGGTGAGTGGGCAGCTTGATGTGTTTTAGGGATAAAGTACACGAGTTCGAATCCCCAAGAGTTGCTGGGATGAAGGACGTTAGGTCGAGTTACACGTTCCTTAATACTGTGTTAGTCGCCCCTATTGTCCCCACCACCTGACACCTGCACGGAAAATACCCTCGTGTGTGTGTGTGTGAGTGAGTGAGTGAATATTCTAGAATATTTATATAAAAGAATAATGATCAATCCTTAGTAGGTATAATGAAAATAATTGTTTATATCAAGTATTAAAGTATGTGGTGCAGGTCACGAAGGCTTGTTAATGATGACGTGTGTAAAATAAAATCAACACTGCAAAAATTACATTAACATTTACATTATTATTCTGCAAAGGCAAAAGAAATAGTAAAAATAATAATAATAATAATAATAATAATAATAGTAATAATATCTATCGACCATACTTAAAAAAAATTACAATTATTTTTTACACACAAACTCAGGTAAAGGGGCAGTGAATTTCTCTAAGTTATGGCACTGTAACGCTGTAACCAACACTAAATAAGGAAGTTGGGTACAAAAGTTTCAAAAACTCTCCTCGCTTCCTTCTTTTGCAAATTAGGATGCAAATCAGCGGAGAGAAATTTATATCCTTAAGTAACGTCCTAATGAAGATGGAGACACCACTGTTGGTTCTACAGTGAGGGACGGTATATTAAGAGACAGGCAGACAGACAGAAATAAGAGACAGAGAGAGAGAGACACACAGAAATAGAAACAGATACAAATACGAGACAGACAGACAGAAATAGACAGAAAGAGACACAGAAATAGAGACAGACAAAAATAAGAGACATGTAGACAAAATACGAGACCAGACAGACAACAGACAGAGAGACAGACAAAAAATAAGAGACAGACAAAAATAAGACAAGAGTGATCGAGAAATTAGTGAGACAGAAGGAAGGTCGGAAAAAAAGTCGAGAAACACACAGCTAGACAGACAGACAGACAGACAGATGGGAAGGTGAGGACGTGTTTTGGTGTGACTGTGAGGGAAGGTTTATTAAGAGACGGAAAGAGACAGGAAGAAAGGGAGAGATTCAGAAAGAGAGACAGGGACAAAAAAGACACACAGTAAGAGAGAGAGAGAAAGACAGAAAGAGGGAGAGGGAGAAGAAAGGTAAGCAACAGAAATATATAAATAGACAGGCAGAAACAGACAGACATACAACCACACACGCACACAGATTATAAAATAAACATAACACACACACACACACACACACACACACACACACACAACAGAAACTAAACAGAAGAAAACACGGGATCAGTGTATGCAAATTACTATAGGTCGTTCCCATAGCAACAACGTTAAATCAGTGAACAAATCAATAGCGAATTTACATGAGTACAGACAGACACACAGACAGACAGATAGACAGGCATTCAGATAGACAGACCGACATAGATATTCAGATAGACAGAGACATTCAGACAGACAGACAGACAGACAGACAGACAGACAGACATAGACAGACCGACATAGATATTCAGATAGACAAAGACAGACAGACAGACAGACAGACAGACAGACAGACATTCATTCAGATAGACAGACCGACATAGATATTCAGATAGACAGAGAGACATTCATTCAGATAGACAGACCGACATAGATATTCAGATAGACAGACAGACAGACATTCAGATAGACAGACCGACAGACAGAGACACACCGGGAAGAATTCTTTTATTGACAATATATCAGGACGGATTGTAAAGGGGGAGGCATTTTATTGTCCACTGTTGCTGTCGGTTTTGTTATTCTAGTGTTTGTGTTTTGTGTGTGTTTGTGTTTTTCGTTTGTATTTTTGTTTTTCTCGTGTTTTTTCAGCTTTTTCTTAACCTGTTTTTCTTTGAATCTGTTAGGTCTATTTTTTATTTATTTTCATTTTTTTATTCTTTCGTGTTTTTTTTTTTTTAGGTATTTAGTTTTTTTTATTTCCTTTGCATATTCTATTTATTCATTTTTTTTTATTTTCATTCTTTATAACATCTTCATTTTTCTTTTTTTTTGTACTTAAATTTGTAATATTTTATTTATTTTTATTTATTCTTTATTAATTTTTTTACTTACATTTTAAGTATTTTTGAAGAAGAAAAAAATAATGGTTTTACAAATTTCTGTGGTACGATTGTAGATTTTTTTTTATTGGTTGAAAAAGAAAATTTGTACATCACTTTTGAAATCCAGTGTTTAATTTTACAGTATTTTTATTTTTATTACCAGAAAACATTTATGAAACTTGTATGTTATTTTTATGTAATTTTTTCTTCGACTTTTTTTCATCATCTTCGTTATTGGCGGAAAATATTCCAGTTTCGTATTTATTTTCATGTTTGCATTTTTCCGTTGGACTGTAATGGTTGTTGTACCTGTCGGCTGCTGTAATGGTCACCTTGCTGTAACGGTCGCCTGCTGTAACGGTCGCCTGCTGTGTAACGGTCGCCTGCTGTAACGGTCGCCTGTTGTAACGGTCGCCTGCTGCAATGGCCACTTGCTGTAACGATCGGCTGCTGTAATGACCACCTGGTGTGACGGTCGGCTGCTGTAACGATGTTCTGCTGTTGTAACGATCTTCTGCTGCAACAGTCGTCTGCTGTAA